ATGTTCTTTTTCAAACTCCAAAAGCCACACTCTGTTGGGCTGCACATCCATTTAACGTAGCGAAATAGCAAACGGCGCGTTAGTAACGGAAATAAAAGTAGAGGGGGGTTTGGGTCTGGTCATTACGCGACCCGACCCAAGCCTCTCTCGTTTTTTATTTCATTCTTCCTCTACAATAGCGTTGTAGCTTGGAACGGGCTATTCGCTCTAACGACGAACCAATGCTCAAAGCCTCGACTTTAAAAATCTCTCATCAGTGGCCGATTCATTTTATCAACTCAGTTGATATAACTAAATTCTCTTAAATATTAACCCCGATTAAAAATGACACACTTGAAAACTTTAGACTAAATGTTCTAAGATAACAAATCATAATATAACACCATCTAAATAAAACCTACCTACACTACAGGAAAAAAAACGACGTTATAGATTAATATCATTTATTATCAAAATTATAAAAATCTCTCAGCTTTTTACAAATCTCATATTCCTCAGAATGTTAATGTATTTACAATTCCAATGTCAATATTTTCATTTTAAAATTAAACGGCTTGACTTATCTTCTGTCACGTCACACCTTTTAAGAAGCGTTGCGTGACGAAAAGAACGTTCCCTGACGTTATTTGATAGTCAAACAAACTTCAACCGCAATTGCGTAGCAGAGAGTTGAGACAAACAAATAACTGCTACAAGTAACCGTAAATTCACTCGTTATTTCAAATTCACGAGTGCCTCACATGGCACGATAAAAATTTATTAAAATCATTCCAACGATTAAAATGGCAGGTTATTCCACAGTTTTTAATCAATAAAACATTTTGGCAATTATATTAAATAAATCCTCCTCCGCAAAAACACTCAAGTTTATCAGGTAGAAGTTGTTCACCTTGATCGAGCACCTAATTCTCGTAACTAATTTATAAGGAAATATGTGGCATCCAGAGGGAAGAAGTTTGGAAATCAGATCTTGGGAGTCACAGGGTTAACAAATTTTCCTCTAAAAAATCTCCCAGCCTAGAGAACTGCCACGACAGTTTCCGGAAAGCCTATGGAAAGCCTAAGGAAAGCCTAAGGAAACCCTATGACTCCCTTATCACAGAAACTGTTCACCCTTTAACTCCCAGACGTGATTAACATGAAACTTCTCCCTATAATATCCATACATTATTCAGAAAATGGGTAATGAGAATACTCAAACTTATCGGGTAGAAGCTGCTACTTTGATCTAGCACCAAGTTCTCATAACTAATTTACAAGGAAATGTGTAACAGCTAGAGGGGAGAATTAACAATCAGATCTTTGGAGTTAAAGCTTAAGAATTGAAGGGAGTTGTATTCCAAAACGTTTTCCTTAACAAAGGTTCTTAATAAGTCTTAAACGCTAGCCGGTATACACAGGAAACAGTTTTTTCTTGGCTAGTACACTTGCCATAGTAAAAGTGTCTTGTGTGAATACAACATTGGAATTGTTCGGTTAAATTGTACTACGGGAGCCCTTGGTAATGCAAAACATGCCTATGACCTTTCGCTCTCAAGTTCCAGATATAAATTCTCAAAACTATCTGCCATACATTTCATATAATTTTAGTTCTGAGAATGTAACGTCAGAAAATATTCCTCGAAAGATATTTTTCTATATTCTCATCACCCTCCTGCTAGAAAATATATCGAAATTATGAGGAGAATTTAATTGTTGAACACCTCCAAGTGTGGAAGGGTTAAGTCTTTGAAATTTCTTAAACAGGTTAATTTGTCACTAACGGCAGCCCACTTGTGCTAAGAAATGGAGATATCGTGCTAAAAAGTAATTTCCTTCCTTTGAAAAACTGTGATTAAGTTCATTTCTTGGACAGCGAGCTAGTAGTCAGGGGTAAGGAGGTCAGAAGGTGGGAAGGGAGGGGGGGTGGGGTGACTATGGTCAAGATTGGCAGATTTACACAGATTGTATTGAATTCTAGAAATTGTCAAAGAACGACATACTCTTCAGTTGGAGGACTGCTGCTTAGCGTCGACGGAGTTGGGACACCGTTGTTTGATCTCTCTGGTCTATCACTTTCCATAAGGCTCTCGGATAGGTCCGCGCTGCGAACCAAATCTTCGGAAGCCATCGGTTTCCGATGAGACGCGAAGATGAACATAGGATAATCACCGCGCTGCATCGGAGGCCGTAAAACCTAAAAAAAGGAAAAAAAATTAAAGATAAATAAGCAAAGCTTCAGAACAACACTTTATCTAAGACAAATTTTAAAAAGGCTCGTGGCCGAAACCCTTACCAGTCTAACAAGACACCAAAATATTTCCCAGAGCGCCTTTCGATTGTGCGATGTAAAACCAAAAACAAAGTAATACCAAAACCAATCAGAAGAAAGGAAAATTGAGCCAATGAGAGCTTAAAGAAAAAACAACCGAACTGCCCAAAGCGCGGGAAAACGCACACGACCGAGTCGTGATTGCCGTTAGTTTTGCATCTGGTTGGCCGACAGAGTAGCTCGAGATTTTGAACTGATCACACAGAAAAGTAATGCAAAACCGATGCAATTTCGTTTCGACACTCAGTTAAAAATTGCTCGATAAAGCACTCACCTCTGTGGTCTGTTGTCGAAATCTCTCAAAGTCAGCTTTGGTATCACAATAAAAACCTATCGTACACGAGGGATCCATTTTTTTAAACGACATTGTGCGTGGCTGAACACTGTGAAAAGACTGAAAGCAAAATAACACGCCCAATCAACAAAATTAAAAGCAAGAAAAAATTCAAATCGAAAAATTTACTCTATGAATTGATGAAAAAGCGACAAAAAGTAATTACAAAAAAAATTCTTCAAGCCCGAATATCTTTACCCTTGCGTTTCTTCACGCGCACCACTCCTCCACGTTTTTGTGTCTTTTATGTTCACATTTCGTGTGTGCGATCGATCTATGAGATCTTTCTCGTGCGCACCGCATAACTAGCTTTCTTCTCATACGCGCATTCTTTTCACGCAAGTAGTGAAGCGTGTATTTCTTCACGACCACGTTGTTTTTAGGTTTGTGTCTTAACGAACACACGTATTTCTGTGCTTTATGGATAAGTGAACTGAATGTGGACCTGCCATTTAAATTTTCCACTGTTGGAAGCAAGAAAAAGTCATATAATCTTGAAACCGTTTTGTTACTAAAGATGTAATCCCCTTTCACACGGTGTAAATCCTTAGTGGGTGCTTTTTTATTTCACAAAATTTACCTGCGTTGGAAAGTCATCCTTGGACATGTCTACAGCCGCTTGACAGTAGTGAGGGTCTAAACAAACCATTTTGTCATCTGTAAAAAATAAATATAATAATGACAATAAGGTTCGATTTCTTGTGATAAGAAGGCCAAGGAATTTAAGTAGCGGGAATGTTAAAGCAATAAAGGCGAGGACGGAAACAAAGGTGGTTAAGGGTAGCCTATTCCGTGCGTTCAGTTAGTATCTAAACGAAGTGACATAGCAAACAGCGCGATGGTAGCGGTATAGCGAAAACTAGGGAAGTCAGGGACGGAATCCGGCCCAAGCCTCCCTCGTTGTGTCACTCCTCCGTAACTTTATTGCGCCATATACTATCGCGGATCGTTTCAACAACTAAACGCTTGACACAGGCCAATAAACCGGGGACACTACTGATATAAACAATGAGGAGGGTTTTCTCACCTTGGAAACCAACAAAATAAAGAGAGTGTTTAGGTCGTCCACCTATGATTCCAATACAATGATCTAAAGTAAAAAGAGACTAGAAGGAAAAAGAAAATCATTAGGGAGTTTTAGATCCACGTTTGTTTCTGAATACGTGTGACCGCAAACGTCAAGGAGTCTCGTGACCAGACTCCAGCGGTCACGTTCGCCGTTTGCCGTGCACGTTTGAGCTCTGGCAAGGTAGTTTCAGACAGCTGAACTCCCTCGGCGCTTTTTTTCTTCCTGTTCGAAAGTCCTCACGTATGTGCTATAGGTACATATGAATTGAAGTCTTTTCTTTACAAATAATACGTTTGGGACGCTAGAAAACCAATCTCTTAGCCAAATTTTGTATTTGAAATGAAGAACCCCATCCTTTGTGTAATTTCCAGATGGCGGCGCGCATGATGATTTTTCTTCAGGCGAAAGCCGACGTCGATCTAAAATGCTGAAAGTCTCGAAACTTCTAACTTCTAACCACAAACTGCTGACCGCGGTTTGATGTTTGCCGTGAACACACCAAACGTGGATCTAAAACTCTCTAATCAGAAACTTTGTGCTGGACAGTATATCGTTTCAAATAGTTGTTGCATTTTCCACGTCTCTCGCTGGATGACGCGGTGGATAACAGCTCATGGGCTTGCCTAAGAGCGGGCCATGCGCACTATCAGTGCGGAGAGATGTAAGGCGAATTGTCACGTTGTTCAAGGCCTCATACTTTTGCAAGGGCAAAAAAGCTGATGTCGAAGCAATAACAGTGATTCCCTACTCGTCGGCTTAAAATTGCCTTTATTTTCCCTCTATCTCTCCTTCATCTTTACGCTGCAAATAAACTTTCATTTTTTTGCTTGTGCCGGACTTTCTTAGACACCGACATAGTATCCCTTACCTTAACACAAGGTATATAAATGGGATTTAGTGCTTCACCACCAAGCCGAACAGGAACTAAAATAATAACAGATTGCCACTTGCCACCGGAACAATTCCAAGTGTGTGTTCTACAACTTGTACAAAGCTTTTCTACTTCATCTGTATAAACTGTAATAAGATGAAAGGTTCACATGAGACAATGCTGTTTACCTTTTAACTCTCAAGAGTGACCAAAATAGAATTTCTCCTTACAATTTCAATACACTGTCAAGCAGACAAGTGGTGAGAATAAAAAA